AAAAAAAATTCAATGTCTAAGTTTCCAAATTACCTCTATAACTTGAGGCTTCACTCGCTCTCGAACATATATCTGGCGAACCCTGTCTGTCTCTGCGATTGCTTCTTTCAATCGGAAGGAGACCTTGCCCTCGTCCTTGCTACGCAACGGGCCCAAACTATACTCGAATGGATCCGGGCCCTTGTATTTACTGTTATCCCAGGTCTGCTCCATAGAAACCGAATCCTGCAAGGGTAACGAGTATTTGACCACGGAAAACCCATTTATCAGATACCAATCGTCGGACAACCGCCAACGTCGAAGCAAACAGGCTTCACCGCAGATGGCAGCCACCTTGCTGAGAGCAACCATGTCGGCATGGAACCAGGATTTCCAGTGATGCAAAGAGAGCGGTAATGGTCGGCCTGACTCGTAGAACCCGGACGCATCGCCACGAAGGTCTAACTGATGGAGGCCATGTTCCCACTTGAGTTTCACTGTAGTTTGGCTGTAAATACACCGTGCGATCATTCGATCACCGGCGCCCTTATAGTCATAGCAATTACGGAAAACAGCATTGAGTTGTTGAACAAGGGGAATGGAGAGAAATATCCCGGCACCGCCGTACGCCATATGGCTCCCAAAATACATCTGTGCGATATCCTCGGTGAGCGCCCCTATATACTGCGGCTGCGTCGGATCGTACGTCGACAACCGTTGCACGAGGTTCTCCATTGAAGGAAAGAAAGTATCATCGTCGATTAAGACAATCCACTTGGTGAGCTCATCCTTGCGCTCAAAGAGGGTCCGGAGCAAGGAAAAGTACCGATCCAGCAAATCATCTGAGTTTTGGATAACGGTGAGGCGAATATCTAGCTCCTTTGCCCGTTTTTCGGACTGCTTCACCGAGCCTTCATCATCAACCACAGCTACAATGTGTGCATTTGTTCCTCCTGCCCAGTGTGCGAAAGCATCCAGAGAATCATACAATCTCTCTGTAGACGTCGCGACGCCAAATATCATGTGTGATGCATTAGGGCGTGGAGCCATCACGGGAGCATATATTGTCACCGATGTAGTACAGCTCTCTTCTGGCAGTAGCTCTGAGTGATTCTCTGTATCCAGTTGGACCGTCTGGTACGTGGGAATTGGTACATCGAGTGTATCCGAAAAACCAGTGAAGTTCTTGGTTCGCACAACAGATATCTCCAATCTAGCATATTCCGCCGAGGAATTGGAGGCGTACGTTCTCAGCAGGTCAAGATCCACATGGCAAACACTGCTGTTACTGGAAGATGGAGGAGACGGAGCATTGGGGATAGGACTAATATCGATATTGCTATGTCGCGAATAGAGAAGGAATACTGCAGATATGAGTAGAAGTGAAGTGGCGGCAGCTATCACGGCAGTGGATCGGCGCCATTGAAGCAAAGGGTGATAGCGCGCCTGCATCGCGACCCGAACATAGCTAATATCTCATCAATTGTTGTTCTATACGGTTGAACCCAAATCGGACCATTTATTGTGAAGGGCGAAATATAAGAAAAAGAAAAAGAAAGGCGGGAGGCTTCAATTTCAGGCCCGCTAGGGGGAAGGAGTCAAGAAAGTGAAAAGAAAAAGAGAAAAACGTAAAGAAAATAGACGATGAGATCCTTGTTTCAGACAAGGAGAAAGGGCTGCCGCCCAGAGTTGCGGCTGAGCACTCCCGAAGATCCCAATCTGAATGGCATTAGTGACGGCCGCTCGTACCGTAGAAGTCCCGCGGTAGGTGAGTTACTAGTAATCCAACCAACTTCTCAATTGTCCTGGTTGTCATAACCACGTTGGGTGTTTCGCGGAATATATATAGTATCCCCTTCATGAGGAGATCTTTCCAAATATCAAAATATAGCTTTTCGTGTGTTCAAATATATGTCTTGCACCCACAAACGCATAATGCAGTAAGAAAAACATTTATAGACAATGCGGTAATCTACCAGAATGGTAGATCAGTTATTGCACGCGGAACTACTAGTTAATTCTCAAAACATGACTTATCACATCAATTCGTCTCCCTCTGGAACATCATTGCTTCATTCAACATTTTATCGCTGTCCCTCAATACCCCTATGCTTTCTAGTGTCTTGATGATGCTATGCGACGCTTAAATCATCATTTCTGGAACAAGCAACAAAGAGAGCGCAAATCTGGCCTATAAAAAGCCGCTCTACAGGGTGTTGACTAGCCTGCGCTCTTTCCTGAGAGCCCGAAGCTTTTCGCGTGCCTCCTCGAGAGGAATCATGACACCTTGCTTCTGGGTGGCAGGGTCGTCACGGTTGCGGATGTTGACAGTGCGAGCCTCCTTCTCTTGAGCACCAACGACTGTTTCACTTAGTTAGTACAGCACAATACCAGACTAGACATATGCTCAGCGGGACCGTAACATACCGAAAATGAAGTTGTACTGGGCCAGCTGTCCAGTACGAATCTTCTTCTGCATAGTATTTCCGCTAATGTCAATGTCGACATTCAGCTTATCACCGCGCAGAATAGTCTGCAGCTCTTCCACGTAGTCGTTTACGGCAGGCATGACAGGAACAATCAGGATCTGGCGGGGGCTGATCCAGAAAGGCCACTTGCCGCCGAAGTGCTCAGTCAAGATTCCCAGGAATCGCTCAAAGCTACCGATGATAGCTCTGTGGATGACAACTGGACGAGCACGACCAGGGCCAGGCTCGTTAGACTTGGTCTCGCCCTCGGCAGACTCGGCAGCCGCTTGGCTCTTGTCGGCCTTCTCATGGCTCATGTACTCAAGCTTGAAGTTGATGGGGGCCTGGTAATCAAGCTGGATGGTGGCACACTGGAACTCTCGCTTGAGGGCATCAGCGATAGTGATGTCGATCTTAGGTCCATAGAAGGCGCCATCACCCTCATCGATGGCCCAGTCATCGCCCTTGAACTTAGTCATGGCCGCCTTAAGCTGGTCTTCGGCATAATTCCAAGTTTCAAGCTCTCCAAGGTACTTCTCTGGACGAGTGGAAAGCTTCAACTTGAAAGTGAAACCGAAAAGCCCATAGATGGACTGAAGGAAGTCGAATAGCCCCTCGATTTCGAGGTAATCTTTGTAACGTTAGTGAGATGAAGGGAAGAAAGGAGATCCCAAGGGAATTTACCTGATCCTGAGTACAGAAGATATGGGTATCATCTTGCTGGAACTTCCGGACACGGGTGAGTCCACTTAGTGCACCAGAGGCCTCATTTCTGTGCAGAACACCAAAGTCTGCAATACGCAACGGGAGTTCTCTGTAGCTTCTCTCGCGATGACCGAAAAGGATGAAATGTCCGGGGCAGTTCATAGGCTTAAGAGCCCACTCTCTCTTCTCAACGTCAACCTTAAACATGTCATCCTTGTAGTGGGCCCAATGTCCAGAAGTCTTCCAGACGCTAACATCGTACATGTTAGGCGTCTGGACTTCCTGGTAGCCACGCTTACGATACTCCGACCGCAAGAGGGTCTGGAGAGCATTGAAAATCTTGGTACCGTTGGGGAGCAAGAAGGGACATCCTGGGGAGGCTTCGTCAAAGAAAAAGAGCTCTTGTTCCTTGCCGATCTTCACATGGTTGCGCTTCTCCGCTTCCTCCAGGAACTTCAGATGTTCTTGCATTTGCTTTTTGTCGGGGAAGGCAACACCACGGATACGCTGCAGAGAGTCGTTGCTTTGGTCACCAAGGAAGTAAGCAGAGGAGTTCTGAGAAGCAATTAGCTTGGCGAATTTATATTATGACTTCTTAGTCACCTACCTGCATGATCTTGAAGGTCTTAATCTTGCCAGTGCTTTGAATGTGGGGTCCCCTGCAAAGGTCGACCAATGTACCACATCTATAAACAGTGCTCTTTTCTCCGGTCACCAGTTTGTCGATATAATGCAGCTTGTACTTGCTGTACGCGAACATCTTTTTCAGGTTCTCTTTCGTAACTTCTAATCTGTCAAAGCTCTGCTTCTCCTTGAAGACACGGTTTGCGTGCTTGTCCAAGGCGGGCCAATCGGTCTCTCTTACAACACGGCTATAGTATTGTCAGTAACCAGTCCAGCTAAGCCTGTTTCTTTCCGGGACGCACTTCTCGGGCATGGCCATATCATAGAAGAAACCCTGTGGGGTGGGAGGTCCATGAGATAGCAGACATCCATATTCACACTCGCAAGCCTCGCCCAGGCAGTGAGCACTCGAGTGCCAGAAGACTTCCCGTCCTTCGGGATCCTCGAATCGCACATAAGAGACCGTGCAGTCACCCTCCAAAGGTCGGCTCAAGTCCCAGAGTTCGTTATCGACCTTTGCAAGCACAATAGTGGCACTCAGTTCCTTGGGCACATTCTTGAGAAGTTGGGCGGGGGTAGTTTCCCAGGCTTTGGCGGGGACCTGTTCCTTGTTGCCGTTGCCAGGTGCCAAGGTGACAGTGATTTCGGGGTGAGGCTTGTTCTTGGTCTCCTCGAGATATTGCTGCCAAAGCTCCTCGAAGAAGTTGTTGCGCTCAATAATGAAGTCGGGTAACGAACCGGCACCTGATACGATTGACTGATTAGGAGGGGCATTCATGATATTTGGCGGGGCTAATAATGATTTACCTTCAGCGCCCGGGGCGGACCTGACGGGCAATTCCTTCGAACCTTCAGAAGCCATGGCTGTATTACGCAACGACAAAGGAACGATCAGGAAAAAAAAGTACGGGGAGGAGGGGTAGGCCAGCGACGATGACTCTTTTGCAGCATATCGGAATGAATCTTTAGCCCAACCAGCAGTGAGGGACGGAAGGCGGTGAGCCACGTGACTGAAAACTGCCCTGGAGGCTAGCGACACTTTACCGTTTCGAGCTTCCCACCATTTGAAAACTTCTCCGGGTTCCGTCCGTTCTTACAGGTCAATCTCAACAACCAAGTCAATATGTCTTTTAGAGGAGGAGGTCGCGGTGGCTTTGCCACTGGTGCCAATCGCGGAGGTTCCTTCGGTGGCCGTGGTGGTGAGTAACTCCAATTTTCGGAGCTGGTGGTTGAGATGAGCGAGGACTAACGAAAATTTCGTCGGACAGGCCGCGGAGGCTTCCAGCAGCCAATGGGACCACCAGCACAAGTTCTGGGTATAGAATACTGATGCGATCCTCATATCATTGCAGTTTACTGATTTTCTTTAGAGATGGGATCTTTCATGCATGCCTGTGAGGGCGAGATGGTCTGCGAGTCGATCAACCCGAAGATTCCTTATTTCAATGCCCCTATCTACCTGGAGAACAAAGTACGAGTCACCGAAGACGTACGCTTGGGAATTAAATGAGGACTAACACGTTACTTCAGACTCCTATCGGAAAGGTTGACGAAGTTCTTGGCCCTATCAACCAGGTCTACTTCACCATCAAGCCTCAGGAAGGAATTGTCGCAACTTCTTTCAAGCCTGGTGACAAGGTCTACATCGGTGGGGATAAGCTCCTGCCATTGGAGAAGTATGGATTACTCCTCTACGTGTACGTTGCGAACAGGGCTGACTTGATGATCATAGGTTTCTTCCTAAGCCTAAGCCGCCACCGGGTAGGATCCCATCTACGACCGAACATATGTTGCGCATATTACTGACAACCATTCAGGTGCTGCTAAGCCTAAGAGAGCTGGAGGTGCTACCAGGGGTGGTCCTCGCGGTGGTAGAGGAGGCCCTCGTGGTGGAGCGAGAGGTGGACGCGGCGGATTTGGCGCCCCTAGAGGCGGAGGCGGCTTCCGCGGTGGAGCGAGAGGAGGTGGAGGCTTCCGTGGTGGAAGCGGTGGCTTCTCCAGGGGAGGCGGCAGAGGAGGACCTCGTGGTGGAGGTTTCCGACGTTAGACAGTCTCCGTCTTGCTTAGCACTGTCTTATTACGGCGTTATGGGAAAACGGGAGCTTTTGCAGGAACTTTTTGTGTCAATTTTTCTGTGCATCCTAGGTGGCTTGCCTCTTCGCAAAGGCTGTAGACTAATTCAGCCATTAAATGAATGTTATTATACCAATGAAGTACCTGCCAAAATGACATGTGCTTACTCGTAGTTCCGTACCAAGAGGTAGTAGTGATTCGGGCTTTTGTCCCGATCGCCTTTTCAGATGTGGCTAGTGTCTGTGGCGCAGCCCTACACCGCCTGGCAATGACGTCTGGAACACATGCCGAGCCGTAGAATCTGTGCGGCCTTGTCAACATCCTTTCAACTGCATCCGCTAGCAGATCCCTCACCTTTCCACAACTTTCCCACCGCTGTCGACATAATTCAAAGTCTCACAATTTCTATTATTGTACTTAAACTGCGCGTTCTCCCTTATTGTTAGACTTCGAATTGAGCATGTCTCGTAGATCATCGGCCATGCCGTCGAATACATCTACGAATAGCGGTGTCCCGCCTGCCGGTGACGGAGGTAAGCTCTGATCATTGCTAGCCCGATCAAGGATATGGAAACTTAGGTTTATCAGGTCAGGAAAAGCAGAAGATGCTTTTGTCGGCGGAAACAGGGCACTTCAGCTTGGTCAGGTCAGTCTTTATCTTGGCGACACCTCTAATAAATCTATCCGCTGACTGAACATTCTTACGTCAGGGCTTTGCATCTTGCAGATCTAGTAACTGAGCTTAACGGTAATATATTGGATTTTCCCATGCTGTATGCTTGCCAAGCTTTGCTAATTATGCTTCATAGGATTTTGTGGAGGCAAGCCTACTCTCTGATATTCGCGATTAAACGCCAGCCTAAACTGACTTTCACGAACAGTTATGTCCGTCCTCTCGTCTATGCGTTACTGTCTAGGAGACCCTCATGAATATGGTGCCATCTGGTCTGCGCTTGGATTTATGCCTTTCGGACTTTTCTTTGATTTCATGGATGGAAAGATTGCAAGGTGGAGGAACAAGTCATCGCTCATGGGACAAGAGCTCGATTCATTGGCAGATCTGGTACGCTGGTCTGCAATGTTGATTTGACAAAATACTTACGGTCGCTTCTAGATTTCTTTTGGTATGGCACCGGCCGCGGCAGCCTTCGCTCTTGGAGTCCGCACAAATGTCGACCACCTCCTCCTAGCCTTCTTCGTCCTTTGTGGCCTGACACGGCTAGCCCGGTTCAACGTGACGGTTGCCGTACTTCCCAAGGACAAGACTGGAAAGTCTAAGTATTTCGAGGGCACGCCAATTCCCACCACACTGTCCATTGCTGCGCTCATGGGTTACTGGGTTTCTCAGGGATGGATTCAAGAAGATCTCCCACTAGGCGTTATTGCGCAGGGCACAGCCCTTGAATTCCACCCTGTGGCATTGTTGTTCGTCCTGCATGGCTGTCTGATGGTCAGCAAGTCTATACATATTCCCAAACCCTGAACACCAAAAGCTTTGCACAGACAAGTGGAAAGACATTCCTGTACTGGAATCTTTACTTGATAGAAAAGTGTTGATGAGACTTAAGCATATATATGTAACTAAGCTAGAACGAAAGCGGGCACGAAGCATTTCCAGAAGATAATGCTGTTTGACGAAGAAAATTTGGACTCCGAAAAGCTGCGGATAGTATTACTCTGGTCTGGCTCTTTTATGTTTGCTAGGCTGATTTGCGTAAATCCAGTCCCCCATCCACTGCTTGGGAAAGTAGGCATAATGTACTGAATGAATGCACCTGAACACAGCATAATGCATGTAACAAATGAACTGGTTCACATATAATAGAGCTCCCTGCATACGACGACAAAATATCTGGAACTACACATTGTCTAAACACGCGTACAGTGGCTTTTCTGGAAGCGTAAGCATGGGTGTATAGCAAAAGGGTTGGGGGAAGCCTATATCGGAAATGTATGACGTCCATTTCGAATATAGGAATGGTTTCATTCTCTTTAAAACAAGGGACGTGCCATACGCTGCCCTTGAGTCACAGAGCGATACCGGATCCGCTATTACCACCATTCGCCCAAAATAGTAGCGATTGCAATAGTTACTGTAGGCCATCCATGAAAGTATTTCTCAATGACTATTGCCGACATCACGCATCACACATCCGAAGACTCGTGCTGATAAAAAAAGGTGAGCCAGATGGATACAAGTGGATCAACCATCGATAGTTATTCCTGTGTCCCATGTATCCTCGTGTGCGTGTCCACTTCCCAAGAAAATCCCATGTCTCACATGCTTGTGGACGGATGAAAACTTTTCCTCTATAAGAAATCGTTGCCAGTTGCCGGTGAGTTGATCCACAGGAACCTCAAATTGCCACTCACTTTTTTCTGGTAATAAATACAGAGTACTGGGCAACAATACAAAGAAGTCGCCCGGGTGAGGCTAGTGGTACAGAGTGTTACCTGTGATGGATAATTATGGAAATGTTGACAGGCGCCCGTGGGGCACTGACACATTCTAGACCTCTCGAGGCGTTTGTTTCACCCTGACCGAAAAATGCCCATGAGCCAAGAAAGGAAGGAGAGTTTCGTCCAGGTTATTCTTAGTACTTGCGAACTTGGTTGCGAGCTCAATGGTACCTTTCAACAGAGGGTGTTGATGTTATTCTATTACTGGTGAGGTTTCTTCCTTCGGTTTGTGTTGGTTTTCAGTGGAGAAGCTGTATTCTGGTCTTGTTCCTGAGTTGTTCTCATTGATTTATTCGTGCCGAGGAAGGGCAACTCGGATATCTCTGTTGTGAATCCAGTTCTCCGAGTAGGGCAGTGATTGATCGATGCAGTGGGTTAGACGTGTCCTTCGCCACTCTTTGGGAAAATAGTTGAACCGAAGCCCAATTGGATACTACTGAAGATGATGATTGTGCATGCTTTTCAATCGAAAACTCCTCACTCATGCCAATGTGGAGCACGGCAATAGTACTCGTCACCTCTGCTTGCGATGTTAGCGCCTTGCGCTGCAGGTATGGCTTGTTGCGTCGAAATTTGCACTAAGTCCGTTCGTCTTCTCCATACGCTGGTGATATGAAACTAGAATAAGCTTAAATTCCATTTCACAAGCGACGCCTCCTGCCTAAGCTACCCGAAAGTAAGCAGGAACACTGCCTACGTGTCGCATGCTGATATGGAGTTGTTAGATGCATGCAGACCATCATCGGAATGTCCGTCGGAAAGCAACATGAAATTCCCGATCGCCCTGAAAGGGATAACATGTTGACGAGTACGATATTCGTCAGCTGGAGACTTGAGGATGCTTTGCTCTTTTAAGCGCTGTATTGTCAAAATTTTCTCGTTTTTCAAATCATAGATGGTAGGCGATTGCATCTGCGCCTGCTAAACGCCCTCTACGGCTTATTCACGAGTCACAATGCCGCAGCTTGCTGTTTTTGCTCATCGATCTGTTGATCTCCATCGTATTTGGATCGCATCTGTCATTTGACATGTATATTCCTCGAGTGCCCTGTACATTGATTATGGAACCATTTCTGCGTAATCAGGGTACAACGAACCCTAGTACTCCGTACCTCCGGTTTCTTTGCGGGTTTCGGAGGATCCGCATAAACACCCAGGGTCAGGATCCCAGGTCCACTCCGGGAGTGTCCGCTTGAACCCAAGGAACGGTTCCGTGTCTCTCATTTCGTTTCACCCAAATAATGAAGAGTTTTCTCATGACGGTGAGGACTTGGTGGGCGCGCAAATACATACTGCCCTAAATCAATACTCTGGCAATTATTTCTGTGGCGCCTTACTTTTAAGGAATACCTCTTACGGCCATAGTCGGAGAGCACCGTAGGACATGTCCTTCGTAAGAGTTGTATTTCACCTGACCAACTCTGTTGGTGACAAGATCTGCATGGGTCTGCATATGACGCAGCCCTTTATTGGTACTGACCAAACACGGCTCCAAGGCTCCATAAACGACGAACCGTTCCCTTGTAATTGGCTCGTGGCCGCACATCAGGATCAAAAAAGTCTACAGTGTTAGCTGACTTGGATTAAAAAATGGTACGTGGTGATGTGCAAATTTGGCGGTTATATATTTCGCTTGCCACGCCTCGGGCGTAGAATCTCGTGGAGTAAGCTTTTACGGAATGCCACATTTTTGGACCCTGTCCAGAGTAGTCTGTACCAAAGAAGATCAGAAGCGCACGACCTTGCGTTCGAGCAATGGTGCAGAATAGCCAGCCAGCCAGCTGTTGATTTCCCGCGTTTTCTTCCTTTAGAAAAGGTCCGGGTGTTCCGTTCGCTGCTTATGGGGTTACTATTCCCGCTAGCCAAGATATGGAGCAAGGAGCTGTGCACTGACGCGGCAAGCCTTCACTGGTGAAGGAAAACGGTGTCTATCGCAATTGACCAAGCCCGTTTATTCACAGTAGGTGTATTGTATTTTCAGAGTATAGGACATCCAACTCTTCTGGTGTGGCTGATGGATATTCAGGGCGACGTAGTTGTAATATTATTCGGCCTTGGCTTGTTTATGTTGGGACGCCACAGTCGCAAGTGAATATGAGATTGATTCATCCTCCCTGAAACAAAAGCGGACAGGATATTGGACGTAACTGTGAATGGTCAACTGAACTTTCTAGCATCTGTTTGTTCAAATGAGGTCGATATCGCCCAAGTTCATACTGGCCATATTCTCGTCACACCTTTTGTTCCAATGTCATTTGATCCATAGAAGAAAAGAACCTATGGAGTAACCATGACTGTCTATCATCCCCTCTTTTCATTAATGCAGCGCGCCACAAATAATCACACCAGACCCATGGCCTTCCCTATACAGGTATAGCGCATGCCGATACTCCATTTTTCCTGCCCGTTCGTGGATACGGAAGGGGAAAAGGATCGTTGTGCCCCTGGATTTCTGATTAGCCCATCCATTCATGGCACCGCTTATCTAATCCGCGGTCGCGCCCTGATTGAAGCAGTGTAGCTTTGGTACTAACGCGGGACGGACTTGGAAAAATTACCGACCTGCATATCCAGGGTCACCCTCCGTTTGGAAACGACCCCTAAAACAACTTACGGTACGCACCACCCATGGATATATCCCGTTCCATTTATTTGGAAAGCTGTTTGTGATTTTGATGTAGGCTATGATGATTCGACTTTAACGGCCCTTTTATTGCTAGGGGTACACATCGTAAGAACCCTAATCTAAGGTTAGAAAGGTAGTAAATGCTGCGTGTATTCTACTTCAGGTGCGTCGCTTAATCGGTAAATCAGGAAGGTACGAATCAATACGAAGGAGTTTCTTCCGTTTCTCCCTGTAACCCTGCCCCGTCAAGTCATTCGTTCAATCTCAGCAGACCCCTACTTACCCTAGTACTCCTAGTATCCTTCCTGTCCCTTCCCTTCCCCTTCTCTTTCCTTCCGTTCCTTCCTCCTTTCGGACAAAAGACACTCGTTTTCTCTTCTTGTTATTCACTCGGAGGGGCTGTTGCTTTCTTTAAAATTACTTCTCTTTCGATTTTCTATCGTTTCCTCCCTTGTTTAAGTGCAAACATATTGACGATTACATCAATATATTTCCCCCCCTCGAAAATCTCCGAGTCAGCCTTCGTTCGCGTCCGTACCAATTTGCTGGGTGATCCGACCGACCTTCTAAGTTTCCTGTTCAGGACGTTCATTAAACTCCTCTCGGCAGAAAGGGGCGCTTGAAACGTCCGGTCCTCAGAATCTTCCCCGCCTAAGAACCGCCCTTGACAAACAACCCAACATTCTTTCCCGTCGCCATCGCATTAACCTACCCTCGTCAACTATCCTGTCGTCACCGGCCCTGGATTAGCTGCGCCTGTTGTCGACTGTATCACGGTTCATAAAGTCGAATTCTTTACGCGAACCTGACCCCTACAGGTCACCGCGGCCATTTTGACGCCTTTTCGGGAAGTTGACTGGGAAATAGGATCTCAATCTACCACAGTGGTCTAAAAGGGTTACGCCGGTCGTCCCTCTTTCCTTCGCTCAACTACTAGCACAACAACCATACTGTCTGGAGCAGGTGTCCAGATACTGATACCCCTTGCAATTGTTTCCTGACACTTCTACATCTACAACTACAACATGAAATCATTCACGCTCAAGTCGGCTCTTGCAGCCTCCACCCTTCTGATTGCAGCCAACTTGCCAGCAGTGATCGCACAGACACAAGTCGACAAGGGATGCTATAGTGATTCGACGCCGTTGAAGGATCAGGGTCCTTATACGTACCAAAGTAACGGATATTGCCAGAAGCTATGCTTGAAGGATAACTATGCTGTTTTTGCCTTGTCGAAGGGCACAAACTGTCTTTGCGGTAACCAATTACCAGCAACATCGGCTAAGACAAGTGACGGCGACTGCAATGTCAAATGTGCTGGATGGCCTGATGTTATGTGTATGTGCTTTCCGACTCACTCCCCTGCTCTTGAGTACTGACTTTTCATTCAAAAGGCGGTGGTAATAATGCGTTTTCCGTCTATCTCACTGGTATCGAAGATAATGTGGATAATTACTCATCCTCGTCTTCCTCCTCCTCGAGCTCTTCCTCTAGCACCGAGAGTGGAGCCTCGACAACGACCAATGGAGGGACTGTCGTTACTACTACTGGTGGACAAACAGTGATCAAGACGGCGGATAGCGAAAAGACAACGCAGGGTGCCGAGCAAAAGGAGAAGAAGTCTGGATCGAATACTGCTGCCATCGCCGCTGGCGTCGTCGTGGGAGTTGTTGGTTTCTGTGCTTTGGTGGGGGCTATCTTCTTTCTATGGCGGTTTAAGAACCGTTCCAACATGCCCGAACAGTATCGAAACAACAACATTGACAGCTTTGGCGCCAAACCCATGTCCCAAAGCTCCATGTCTGATTCTAGGTTCGACGGTGACTTCATGGCAAAGCGGCGTCAGAGCAATGGCAGCATCGATGATGATCAAGACTTTTCCCGTCGAATTTTGCAGGTGAGTATCATTTGCCCTGGATCGCATGCTACTATACAGTGCAATTACTGACCGTAATCTAGGTGACCAATCCCGATCGCCGCTACTAAATTCAGGAACTCTGAACCTCCCAAATGGACCATGTCCCTTGTGAATCATCGAACAACAGCCTTGGCTACTAGTCCTACTCGTTATCCTGATATACATAAATTAGTTTGCGATTTTTACGCTTGAGCTTTATACATTCCTTCGATTTCATTCCTGATTTCCCCTCTACCGCGATCTATTTGGCGACCTTGCGATATCCTGAGGCATATTCTGTAGATAAGTTATGACGTTTTACTGTCTACTTTTGTTTGCAACATGTTGTTCGAGTCTAGAACCGCAACGCATCCCTACTTCCATAATCCCGCAACGCCCCGTGACGCGCTCGGGAAGTCAAGAACGATATCACCATCGCAGGCCGCGAAGCAAAATGCTCTCTCTGCTTGGAAGGAATCGGCCCGGACTTGGCCTTATGAATGTGTGAACGGCCACAAGATACCCGGGAGGGTCAGAAGCTTCGTTCTGGACTTAGACTGCGGTATGTCGACCAGAGAAGTTGTATTTTTGAAAAGGCGTTCTGCGGTGAAGTATTTTTGAGTTCTCCCTTGTGAACACAGTTGTGTTCCTTCATACCTTTCTGTTCTTGCGCTGGGGCTATCCTGCCTTGGTTACTTTCTTTTCCTTTGATTTCTTATTATCTGTGATTTACTGAACTTCCCTTGGCCATCATCTCCCTAATGTTGTTGGTATGCTTGGGGAACTGTAAGTAAGATGATGGCTGAGCCTGTAGTTAATGCGAAGAATGAATGGATACCACTCTTGTTTGATCTCGACTCACCTGCCATATGAACTTGAACGCTATCATCCCGTTCAGGAAGCGAAGATTTGTTTCACATCATAATTTTGGCGAGATCCTACCATCTCTCTCTCTTTCTCTCTTTCTCTCTCCCTCTCTCCCTCCCTCTCTCTATAGTCTACAAATCCTCCATACGACTGTGCACTTACTATTTACATTTGTCCCAGAGGAAATTGTCTCTATATTCATTGATCTGGGACACCCTTGCCTCCCTACTTTCAACGTCCAGAAGGAGCGCCCAACATCACACATCAGACGATTGACTGCCGGACTATCGAATCCAGCCAAGCTCTCTTTCTCTACAACACACCGACCACTCCCTACTAGTTGGTGTCTGAGGGCCAAGACAACAAATAACCGCCATCCTTAGGTATTATGTGTTTTCCCGATGTCAACGCTGGTCCACACGCGCAACCAAAGCGCATCTTCATCTAGCGGTTTAGCAGCCCACTAGAATCTGTGAGCGTATCCCACTATGGCAGGCCGCGTACTGTACCACCTTCATCCTCTGTTCCTAAAAACCTCCACATAAGCTATTCCATAAGGGGTGTCGTTCCTACTAATCGTTTTAATATGGCTAATTCGACCACCATCTCTTCTCTCTTGCAGTCTATAGAACCTGGTGTATACTGCGGAGATATATACTTATGAATATCGGGCCTATACAAACCACTACCGCATGTTGACACCCCTCTATCCATCGTTATGAACACACCAATCATTAGACTACGGATGATACTTTTTCTTGAGTATATTCTCTCGCCCATCTTCCAGACTCGAATAGCCTCGTCAATGATACATAGTCCTATAGTGACAAAACTCGCACACCAAGCCGCTTCCTGAACCGTAATTCCAACGCAACTAAACCGGCCCTCTCCATAGTCTTAGCTCGCTAGGTCTTGTAATTAAAGAAACTATCATCCGTTGCCGGATCTCACTGAATTGGGGCTATGGCGATTGGATCGTCCTTCGAGATAGATTGCATGCAATTCCTGTTTTCCTGTTGTTTTCATCATCCGGGAAATGATTATGGCAGCAGTTCTCTTTAACCCGATGGAACTAGTCTCAAGCAAGTGACCTGGTGTGCAGGCGTGACACAAGCCCTCCATGAAGTTATTCATCTACATACAAATCTAGGATAGCACCGAGGGTGTGGTGGTGAGGCTGTTTTAACCACCAGCCTTGCCATTCGCCACGCCCAATGCGATTTACCGGAAATAAAGCTCTTTCGTGTTTATTAGCCTGTTACCTCCGGTGATATGATAGAATAGAAGTAATGTTTCGGAATCCAGAATGGGGTTCCGTCGAATAAGTCGTTTGAAGACGGGATCCCTTGGCTATGGGAGGTTCAGGGTGATGGTGTTTATCTAATCTGGGTACATACATATATATACATAAATATGTATATACATGACGTTTCTCTGTTTATATGGACTTGTGGTTGTTTTGTGGACATATATAACCATGGCTAGTTGTGTGTTTGCATCACTGGATCTTTGTTCGATTGGGAATTTTTTTATATCTTCGATATGTTTATTTACCCTATAGATGTAGTCCTGGGTTCCATGTGGATTGTTTTATCCCAATTAGTCTGCTCTTTTTGCTCTTGGAACTACTAATGTATGTCCTACGCTCTATTGTGATGGGGCAATAGTATGTGTCTATATATATATATATAGATATATTTCTGTCTGGAAACACAGTATGTGCGAGCGTTTTCAATTTTGGGAAGTCGGTTGACTTTACTACATACAATCACCATTTCTTGATTTCTTGAAGTCTCCCAGAACACCCTAAGCCAATTTGTATGAGTTTGTCTTGATAAAGACATCGACTTTATACCGATATATTCTGAAAAGAAGCTTCCATCGGTTTTCTTTTCTTCATTCGCTCGGATTCTCTGCAGTATGTATGTATGTATGTGCATACTTCGCCGCATCTACGATAGCCCCAGTTTCTCTCGAGTCTCGATAGATCATCACACATACACACCACCAAACCAGCTAATGACGAAAACACAGCAGGTCAGCTTGACAAACAAGACCCAGCCCCCCATCGTTGAGTCGACAAACACCCGACCTCAACATCGAGGCAGTGGCCGGATATCCGGATGAAGATCACGATAAATATAGAATACAGCGTTCACGCGAACTGTAGAGAACTAAAAAGTAAGACGCAGGTAGTCGAAAGGCTATGTCTCGCCTAGGAGAAAGTCGTTGCTGCAGGAGTATGACAAAAGAAAAAAAAACAAAGAAGAAAAATAGAAGATGCTGACATGACGGAGCTGGGATGCATTTCTGCACGGTGATGCCCCACGCCAAACAGGAAGCCATGCAGAAGGGAAGTCGTTTCAAAATTGCATGGAGATAAATATAGATACAGCCCCTCACCTGAAACCAACAGTCTGAAGAACGAACGCAGCTTACATGCATAAGGGTACCTGTTTCAAGAGCACATACTGCCAGTAAGACTGCACGGTGAGATCTTAAAAGTGGTGGTTGAGCCGGTGACTGGGACGGGGATTAAACGGAGGAGGGGGGGGGGGGGGGGACAATGGCCCTAAGGCAGGCTCAGGCTAAAAATACCGAGACGTCAGAATGCGCCTAGTCCTGGGCCACGAGGCACAACGTGGCAAGGATCAATAAAGAACCCGCATGGTTGGTTCGTGAGGAGAATCTCACGGCACCCCCGAATCCAGTAAGTGGAGGGGTCTATCAGTGCCAGGATTATGGATAATCTTGGGTTGTTGTTGGCTGCCGCAGACTCCGCGGGGATTGCCTTGGGAACTTTCTGAAACCTAACTTGGCATGTACTATACAGAACTATACATATGTGGTAAGTAGTATGCATGGTATCTACAAGGATGTTGCACATGGCTCTCGTTACTCCTCCATTCTCCATGACGTCAGTGGCATATACTGCGCGCATATACGCCCGGAATGGTCTAGAGTGTCAAAGTGAGGTTGCATTCCATATTCGAGATAGTTGTCTATCAAGGTGGCGTTTTATTTCACACGTGTTGAGTAGTGGATATGAAGATCATCCTAGCCATGGATGCAACACCCTGCACGTTTTGGCCCAGGCAAGGCAATAGGCGCCAATATCAGAGTGCCATTGGTTTAGGTAATTTGAGCAGGATGACAGAGAGGCAAATCCCAGCCATCCATGGAGAGTCTTACGGATACAACAAATAATAGACATGGGTTGTTATGCATAGTATGGGCCAATCGCCTATCGGACAGGATGTTGGTTGAGTGATAGAAGCTTCCATGTGTTGGGTCTACCCGTGCCAAACCTAAGGCAGGAAGTGGCTGATTAATGGAACAGACACGCTTGCTTATTTCCGGATGTATGCTGCGAATTAGCGGTCTTCTGTCCTCAGGCTGCATAATATCGCTGCCTGTATTTCAAATAGTGTAATACTCGGGATTTGATGGTCTGCCATATCCCTCCCTCCCCCCAAGATGATATCTCCCCAGTCGACCGGCTCCAGATACTTGGTGATTCCGAGTCAGGGGGTTGCGAATGGATCCAATATCCGATATATCCAGTGACTCAGGAAAACATAGACTGAAGAGGAAAAAGAAAAAAGAAAAAGAAAAGAGAAATTGCACTAGAATAACCCGGTACCGACCAAATGGTGCGTGATCGCCGTGAAATGGTAACAGAGGCTCTTGCACACGTGTGGTCGGATGGAACATTCCAATGGACCTGGCATCCGCAAGGATCAGGTTTTGGCAGATATACAATAACGGTGGCCGGCGAATGAGACTGGCGGCCGTAAATTAATCATGACTTGTCAGCCAATTAGTTTGGTGAACGGCGTCTCGCCCAAGCCAATGTGGGAGGTCTGCATGCATGGACTAACTGCATGTTCCAGCGGGGATCTGAATCCTTCCAGCGTTATCTGTCGTTATTTTCTTGATTCTGTCAAGTGGGACCGGCTGAAGAAATTAATTTCCATTTATTTGGTCATACTAGTACCGGAAGAGCTGACGATGTAGCATTTCTCTTCATCTAAGGGGAAGCCCCCAGACGAACGTGCCGTATCAGGATCGATATTACTTATTAGGTGGTATTATGATCAACCGAGGGGACCAACCACCGGACGAAGAAGTGAGATAGTTATGCATTGACGACCCGGTAGATGTCAAGGGTGACAAACACGCCTGTGGTAGCCGGTCCTGATCCTCGACGATGGTACTAGTCAGTCAGATCATGCCACATCTCGAGGAAGGCCACGTTTTGTCCCCTCCTTTACCCCCTAGCTCAGCGCATGGCACCCTGGTCTAAGGCTGACTGGAAGGGCCCCGTGCTGCAGCTACAGCAGTAGCGTGCAGGATACTGAGGCATCCAAGGCATTGCGTAAGGCATACATAAGCCGAAAAATTTGATCCTAGTATTCTCTTCTTAGCACTGATTTGCTATCTTCAATCAGCACCTCTCTCGAAAGAGTATCAATGTACAATCCAAATACTGCGGGCTTAATTCCGGACTTCGCCGTACTCAACGAACTCGTAACTCCATACGGTATACACGTCGGACTTAACAGAGACGTACCCAGTACACCCCAGTCCAGCCCAGTGTCTCAGTGTTTAAAATTAATCTGCCCCGCCAGCGAGATCGACCAGTTCCGTGTGCCAGTTCGGCCGATCGTTTGCCCCAGCAGGATTCTCTGGGCGATGAAGCGAGGAACATGTTGTCCGGCGCTACGATATTAGCGGAAGTTGCCAATTGCACGGAGTTAGGGTAGGCCGGCCCAAAGCGAGGGAAAACGTACAGCGAGCGTTCTGGACCAATGGTTCTCCGAGAGTCTCGCTAACGTGCTCCACGAGGGTGTCTTTAGATAGAGCCTCAATACCATACGTACAATACTCACTCGACTGCAACGACACATGGATCTGGGATGTTTCCTGTAGCCAAAGGCTTGAAGATGCTTACACTATCAAGATACACATGGCATGAAGGGACACAGCTACGAAGCATCGTCGATCCCAGTCCGCAGGCGAAGATGTAGCCTGGATTGATACCTGGAAGGCTGAAGGAGCCTCGGGATCATCACCGGTTGGCCAATATTTCTATCATCCTGGCTTCGGCAATACTCGTCAAGAATCCTTCCGGCGCATTCCTCCCAATTATCGTCCATTTCAGTAGAGGACCCTTGTCCTATATCTGAAAACCTGGGAATTGATATGGCCATTTAGTCTCTGAAGTGTACGATGAAAGATCGTCAAAACACTTTACTAGAACAGGCAATTCGTGACACTACCTATTCTAGCTAGAGGGGGAGAAGATGTCACTGGATATCAAGTGTGAGTGGGACCAATCTAGGTTGAAGCGAGCCATGGAAGAAGCGAAAGAAGATCATATCACAAGAGGAGCTAGTTGAGTACGGTAGGAGCCGCCCGTAGATATTCCGTTGGGCATTCCGAACCACGGATTTCTTGAAATGGGTTAGCAATAAACTATGGAACCTGGAAAAGCGAGGCACCTTCTGATCCGACAGACCAATCCGCGACGCAGTCAGTGGACGTCTATGCCCGATCAGGTTATGCACAAACGCCCCACTCGACAGAAGAACCATCCACTTATTTTATTTATTGGTTTATTGATTATTATTATTATTATTATTATTATTAATTCAACCCATAGCGGAGTCAGTAGGGTATCATTTCTCTCATAACTTGAAACCGGTGGATCCTCACCTCTCCAGGTATTTGCAGATAGCTCTTCATTGGTACGGGCTGGAGGTTGCGTATCCCGCGGTCGACTATCATGCCAAAGTACCACTTCGCCGGACTTCTGGCTCAAAGCTTTGTCCAAGTGGCCAACAAACTAGGTAATTGCCTTCAAAACATAACTCGATTTCCTTCCTGCCAGTCTCCATACATGGGGTGATATTGCGACCGTGATATGAGGCTCTGGTCAGTCACTTTTGAGCTTTTTTTCCTGTGACCCGCGTCGCAGGATTTTCCTCACTTGGACTGGCTCCTTATCCTTTTCCTTTTCCTCTTTCCTCTCGCGGGAAATGCTTCGCTCACGCATTATGGTTCGCTGATAAATTCCGATGATTAGTTAACCACCGAAGATCACTGACTAACATTTTACATAATCCTTCACAGCCTCAGGCAAGGCTGACTGACTCACGGGAACTGCACTTCGATTTGAGCAGGAATTTCTTCATGCATCGATTTCTATTTTTACACGATCTCGAACCTTATCTACTCTGACTACCAGGCTGAGCACTGCACAATGATCACAGTGCTACTCTGGAGTAAGCAGTACCAACCTGAACTGGTATCCTCTGTGATTGGATCAGGCAAGAAACGGGCTGTTTCTTTGTAACTGAGTGGGCCGCATGATGGTTACCCAAAAGAGTATGCAATTTGAAGTCAAGGCCGTCGGGTCGGAGATAGGGTCAACGCCCCCCATGACGTTGATCAAGAAATGCAGTGACGAGAACATCAAGGGATTATCACCGAGCCGAAATCACCTGTCAATCAAATGCCAATGATTAGCGCATATGGTCGAGACCTGTCGGGTCCGAGTCCGGAGACGTACTCCATCTCTCCGGAACTATTGGTTTACGGCAAAGACTAAGTGTCACGTTACTGTTTAACCTACCCGACGTAGTAAACCTACCCAGGAAGAACCTGGAGCTATGGACTTGAACTTTGAGGGTTGGAACGCACGGCCGACCCGGGCCAGGTTCTGGCTCCGGCGGTGGATCCTGCCATCACGGACTCTAGTTCCCTGCCGCAATTCCGATCTAAAAGGCTAGTACGGACTGCTCCCGAGAATTTCGAAGTTGTGTTCGCTTGTATGTGCTCCATATAGGGGTAGGATCGAGGGCACAACTCAGCAGATGTCAGTGGACTTGAAACGACATCAAGTGATGTCGATAATAATGCCCCTAAGTGCACCGGACATATTCTGTACATGCACTTCCTCATGCCAAAGCAGATGAGCGCATCCCGGTCGGCTTAGCATTCAGGGGCTTGTCCAATCACCGCCCCCAGCGGGTGTTGGCTTAGCTAGTCTACTACAGGTTAGTGCTTAATATCGGCACCCCACTCGGTGGAGATCAATCAGCACATGACTTTCAAGATGCATAAATACGGTCTATTACCAAGTTGACGAGCACTTGTTGCTTGGTACAAGCATCATGGGGACCGCATACATCCTGTTTCCCGAGCTCGTGATGTGATTGGGCAATAACATCCGTGTATGAGAGTGGTCGTTCTGGAATCCCAACTCTGTTGAGCATGGCATTCCAAAACCGCAAGGTTTCTTACTGCAGTAGCGTGATGTTACTACCCCCCTTACGCGGAAGGATCATCAACGCTGTGATGGGCCCCTTCCACGTGATTGTTCTCGAACCAATGCAGGCTGCATGATGTTCCCATGGCATCCCGAGTGCTGGGTACTCGTGCTACATCGCAGTGGTACTGGGGGCTATCGGGGGCAGGTAATGCCAGTACTAACAGCTAACCTATTACTAGTAGTGTCAGAGTAGTGTGCATAAGCCGTCCCTTCCGGGAGCGCCCATTGGACGCATCCGCCAAGCATTCCCTGGATGGGTTAGGTTCTAGCATACCTTCAGATCCAACACGCTTCGGTAGACACCTCAGGTGTTTTATGCCTCTGAGTTCTACGCATTGTCTGGGCTAGAGCCACCCCCTCCCCCCTTCTTAGAAAAAAAAAAAATACTACGCAAATACAATGGGCAATCTCTATTGCTATGCTAGTAGGTTAATTCATTCACGACCGGGAATCTCGAGCCAGGGGAACCAAATGCTCCAGGTTGTAAGCATTTAGCTGTCCGTCACCATCTTTCGGCGTTCAGAAGACTTATGGAAAAGCATAGAAGCCCGCTTACTATGGAAGTTGGTACGCATACATTACTCTGCGTCGCGCAGAATTCTGATATATTTCCACCAACCTTGGCTCCCGGAAGCTGCTCCGTCTGCGCAGAAGATTCTCTCGTTTACAGCATATCCCTTTAGAAGCTGATAGGAGCTGTACACAAAAAAAGTACATTAAATTTGGAAACAGAAAGTAGTTGACCACCGGATTGTGGTTGTCAACCCATGGGGTACCCGCTCGCCTGGAGCTTGAGATTCCCCAGAATTACTCGGTACACATTTTTTCTTCCCCGACACCTCCCTAGTCTTCCCCACCTTGACCCATGTTCCGATTGTGTCATCTGGCTAACCGGAAGGGGACCTTCATTTGAAAGGCGTATATTAAAAGGGAAACCTACTTATATGATCTATCCCTCTTTGGTTCGCCGAGATTACCGTCTGCCAGGCAATGATCAACTAGATTGATGAAACAAGCTAAAGCACACGTTGTTGGGACGGACCAGGGGACAGCTTAGTCGGACATACTGCGGAAATATGGCCGATACTGACCCACAGGGCTGGGTCAAACCAAAATTTTCTTTGTTGCATTGTGGACGAGGAGCTTGAGAGTTTGAATTTTGGGTCTCCTCTTCCGTGATTTTCAGTGCTCCAGAACATGACCCCGCGGGATCAGGGTGCCTTCGGGATGAATGACCCCCCAGGCGGAATATCCGATGAGTTTATCGGCAAGGCCGATACTCACATTACTTTGTGGGAAGTGATTGGCCGGTAAGAGTAAGGTGCTTATCGGGCGCTTCCCGATGCTGCTAATTCCTCTCGACAACGTTGGCACACGTGGTTTTCCCTGGATATGCTTCCATTCCAACGGGAGGGATGTATGCCGTGTCAGCAGATGCCAATCAGCAACCATGAATCATTTCCGTGAAACTCGGATAATGTGGATTCTGTGCAAGGAGACCGACGGGTTGGATAGGAAATCAATCCCCTTGGCAGGCAGACTCCCAAGCATGGGGAAGAAGCCTTGGAACTGACCACACGATCGACGGTTGCTTTCAAGCTGAGGGAAGGGCAAGGGGAACCGCCTTCCTTGCATTTACGACAAGTGCGCGACTAGACTCCACCGGGTAATAGACCAGTGATCAGAATGTGACCATCAAACACACACATACTCCGTACACATGAGATGAATCTGCCCTACTAACAAAAGTAAATTTAAGGAGCCGACACTCAGATCGATCGTAGTTGCTATGACACTGGCCAGGCGACGGGAGTGGAGACCTAAGCATTCGACGGACGCACCTGTCGGACCGCGTAAATGGTTTCCGACCAAGGAGACTAAGGCTCAAAGGAGAGAATGAACACCTTTTGGCTATCTTGGAGTTTTCTTGACCCCCTGGGCAAGTGGGGCACACACACCGTTGGAGGGGCTTTGCTTTGCACGCTCTCGCTGGCGAGGGTTTACCATGACAAATTCCATTCGTCCAAAAGTCTATCAGCATTCCAATGGGCAATGCTTACCCATACAGAATACACAATGCTGATTTATCCGAGGGGGATGTAGTTATTAATAGCTTTTAGGTTATGTATTTCATTTCTTAAGATTTATGTTTCTTCGGCGGTGCTATGGCGATTATTGCAACAATTCAAGGTTGATTTCTTCTTTTTCCTTTTCCGGCTATGATGCAGATTGGGTCGCGACTCGCGATATGCGACTCTTTTTCTTCTGCAAGCTGGGTCTCAAGGCCAGCCAGCTGTTCGGTGTCAAAATTCAATTTGACCGACGGATGGGTTTCCACATTACAGACTACGGGAGTGGTTCTGGATCTTGGCTGGTTGTGGTGGGTCGTTGATATTTAGGAGGTCAAGTGCATCTCTAGAGAGTGGACCTTGTTGAGGCTTTAAACCTGAGATTCCACTTGTAGTTTGGAAGTTGTAGTAAATTACCTTATGGCATGGTGGAGAGTGTGGGAAAAAGCAAAAAGAAACTAAAAAAACAAA